ATGTCTTGTCATTTCTGAAGAAGCTTGTCAATTTCATCACCAACAAAAAAGAAGCTAGTCTTAGTGATCTGGTTGCTTGAGGTTGGCATGAGAGACCCCAAGACGAATAAGTTAAAATTAGCTGGTTGGCCCATTTATATTGGTGGACCGAATAAATTATATGGATTTGGAGGGCTAGCATGGGTAGGGTCAACCAAGTGGTGGACTAGGTTACGTTATGGGGTTTGGGCTGAGGGAGGTAAGTGGGATGGGCTTAGGATGTTTAGGCTGGTGTTCAGACTTTTTTAATCTTGAACTGGATCAAACATGGATCAAAACAAAAAAATGCATTTGTGTTTTGGTTGCAACCGAACTGCGTTATAGAATACAGGTTTGACTTGACTGAGTATCTAGTAGCGGGGCTGCAATATAATAAGTCGAGTCGAGGAGAATTTACCTAACTCAGACACGACTCGAATTTAGCTCGATTACTAATACCTTAATTTGTACTTGTTTAGAGATTTACTCGAGCATGGCTCATTAATGAACTCATGGATTCTACTCGAGTTTAGTTGGATCTAACACAATATATTCTATATAGTATAACTCATAAACTAAATTCTAACATAATTTATATATTAGGGTATAATTTTTGTAAGTAATGTATTATACATTTCATTGATGTCATTATGAAATAAAGAATAATATGAAATTTCTCATCATAAACTGATCCCGTGTATATATATTATGTTGGTATCATATTATTTAGGGGTCGTTTGCTTCAAGGATTTGCATCATGGATTTGGTACCAAAAAAACAACCATCATGGATTTACACACAATCCGTTGTTTGCTTTGTCAAAAAATGTTTAGATAAATCTGTGGGCCCCACGGTTTGAGGGTTTTTTTTTTCTCCAAATCCATGGGCCCCATGGTTTTATAAATCCCACCTCATACCCTGGGATTTGGAGACAAGCTGAAAAACCATCACATCCATGATAAAAATAGCTCAACAGACAAAGGATTTCCTCAAATCCAGAATGCCCAAAATCCCTAATAAATCCCGAGGTTTTTAATTAGCAAATTCATGACAAAACCCTCGTTATAAAATACTTGAAGCAAACGACCCCTTAGTTCATAAAGTTTAACTAGTTCATATTAATTTGTATCCAAGCAATTTATGATACATAATTTCTCTTTTATAGTATAAATGAGATATATTTACTAGAATAATCAAGCCTTAAACATCATAGGGGTGAGATTTATAATTTAACAAACATACATATGAACAATCAAAAAGCCGACTCATAAGCTATAGAATGATTCGCTCATAAGCTGATATTAATTCGATATGACATCTCTAGCCACAATATTGATATATTCATGAGCGTAACACGAGTCAACTCACATGTTGAGCTGAACGAGCAGTGAGTCGAGCTGGTTCGCGAGACTCGCAAACTAAACAAGACTTAGTTCAAACTCACCTCATTAGTAATTAGTAAATGAGTAGAGTTACGGCTGAGGTTTCTCTGATTCAAACGTCGAGCTTCTCATGAATATTTCAAAACTCATTTGCAGTCCTATCTTTTTGACTCCCACCAAAACTATAATATACTTGCCCTTTCTCACGCCTGTAATTAATCTTTCAACCCCCTGATTCATCGATAGGTGCAGCCAATTTACTATGAGAATACCAAAGCAAGGCACTGCATGCGTATATATATACCTATCAAGTACTTCACAAGTTCATATATACAAACATGCTTGATCTGTCTTGACATTTTGGCAATCCATGACAGGGCCTCGTGTTAGCTGCGTCGGACACAACCATGGTGACAATGACCTGGCTCCTCGCCTTACTAGTGAACCATCCCGACGTCCTGAGACGAGCCCAAATCGAGCTGGACAACATCATCGGCAAAGAACGACGAGTTCAAGAGTCCGATCTCCACAGCTTGCATTACCTCAAAGCCATTGTCAAGGAAACCCTCCGCCTCTACCCAGCCGGGCCGATCTCCTTGCCCCACCAATCCATAGAAGATTGCACCGTTGCCGGCCACCACGTCCCTAAAGGTACTCGACTCATCGTCAACATATACAAGATCCAACGCGACCCGAGGGTTTGGCCAGACCCGGACGAGTTTCGACCGGACCGGTTCCTCACGACTCATAAGGATGTTGACGTGAGGGGCCAGGACTTCGAGCTGATACCCTTTAGCAGCGGAAGGAGGATGTGTCCTGGATTGAATTTCGCATTGCAGATTATGAACTTGACCTTGGCTAACCTCTTACATGGGTTCGATTTCTCGAGGCCGTCCAATGAACCAGTGGATATGACGGAGAGCATTGGGCTGACCAACCCTAGAGCTACTCCTCTTGACATTGTGTTGTCTCCTCGCCTCTCTCCTCATCTTTACGAGTGAACTGTATACAATTGGTTGTTACTTTCTCTTGGTGAGAGTTGTTAGTACTTTCTCAGTTGTATTTGAGCAAATTCGACATTAATATCGTTGTTGTAAGCGTACTTATCTTGCAGAATCATTCAAGTTTACGTGACTTCTACAATGCAATAAATAATGTGGTTCTACCAAAAAAATATGTGGTGACTCACGTGGTGGTCAGAGTAATTGGTTGTTGCGTTTAAAAATTCATGAACCAAACCGGATCGTACAATTTATTATGGTAGAATGTAAAGAATGGTATGGTCCATGCTCCATTTTAATAGATGTATTGATTTTTTTGGTATACTCTCTGGTAGACGGCAGTTTACTAAACCAAATCATGGACCAAACTCACTTCTCAATTCATGTTAATTAGTAGCTCACTCAATCACTAGTTTTCCAACTCCTCAACGAGATCAAAGTCTCAACCCTATGTTTATGACGTTATGGTGCAAGTTGCGTTGCTCTGACTTTGTGAATTTTTTTATTTACTTAGATTGATGGTATCAAAGGGTGAGGAGTTGGTTAAGTTTTGGGTGTTGGGGTCTCTTATCCGGTTTTTGATCCAATCCCAAACGGTTTTTTACCTCAAATCTAAGCCCGCATATGAGATTGCATTGTTTGCTATCCGGTCTCGGTCTGGTCCCAATCCAAGTTATACAGTCCGATTTCGAATAATACCAAACAGTCCGGACCAAATAGCCAGCCCTAGATCCCGATCCAAGTATGGCCCATGCAGTCAATAAATGCAGAGATAAATTTACCAAACTCTCCCCCAGGGATTGTACAGAGAACAGGAAAAGGGGGATTATGGGGGTCCCGGCCACGAACCTCCATATAGTAATATTAGTGTAAATATGCAGGGGCGGAAGCGGCAGTGGAGGCGTTTATTCGACGAGTGGAAGAATCAGGTGATGAAGCACATGGACCTTCTCTCCAGAGTGCTGCTTGTAAAAGACTAAAGATATCTCAAGGAGCATTTTCTTTGGCTTTGAAATCATGAGTAGATCATTATATTGTTTTGGTGCTTAGAGTATTATAGTGGACTATGTTTCTTTGGATGTTTGAATATTTATGCTAATTAACATTTAGCCATGAGAACAAAATAATTGGAATACAAGTTATTTTAAGAAAATATATATGAAAAATTAGCAAGCAACAAGCTTGGTTGTGGGTTTATCTATAGTGAGTTAGTGACTAGATTATTTGCAACAAACTTATAGCCACTAGTTTGGGATTCTCTTTAGCGACAACTTCGAATTTACCGAGACAGTTACAACTTATTTGCAATTGTTTTAGCCGTAAATTAAGCAAGTGTTTTAACACTTACTAGTTTTACTAAAGAATTTACCAAGGGTTCTAACCCATTTATCAGAGGTTAAAACCCTTGCTACATCCATTGGATGGGACTTCCATCATGAGTTGCTAAAAATCCTTGCTACATTAGTAGGGGCAGCATTGGCAACGGTTCGTCCACGGGTTGGGAAAAACTATTGCTAAAACTTGTAGCAGGAGTTAAACCTCTAATTTTTTTACTGTTGTATACATGTATCCTTCTTCATGGACCCAAATTCGAAGTCACACTAGGAGCTACAACCGACGACCCTATGATGTTAGCGGATAGCTCTCGCATGGGTCGACAGACCAAATTTATATAACATGTATGATATTTAAGTGTGAATCTCCAAGGCCTTATAGTTGTGAAGGTTATTAACCATTGTTAAAAGAAACCAAACCGGATTAGCGGATTGACTAGTAAAATCATCAAATTAGTTATAATTGCGGTTTGGTTCATTTGTGTGCACGACTATGAATAATGGGTCAAACGGTCTAACATGAAACTAGATTAACCATCATGATTTGACTTGTTCACTATTTTAACCACACACAAAAAAGTAGTTTAACGTAAATTAAGATCATCCAACAAGAATTACTAATCAAATTTTTGCTTCTTTTTATTTATTTTTTAGCCTCCTTATCATCTTCATGTGATCCACTACAGACTGCATCCCTAGTTACCAACCTGAATTGAATAAATATTTTTATGATAGTTTGAATGATTTGTTAGAATATTTGACGATAGATGATACGAATTTGAAACTTTTTATGGTGAAGGAATAAATTAAATCCTAATTTGGTGTATCACATATGTATTTTTATGTTAGAATACATATGAATAGTTCCATCCACAATTAACCAACGATTCTAGAATGAATCATAAGCTACAAACTTTTTTTATTCAGCGTATTATTAGAAAACAGAGCTGTCTTCTAGTTCTAGTCAAAGAAAAAACCCACTAAATCGCTGTATTGTGTTGGGTTTCAACTTTAGAAATGGGCCTTGACCACGAACGATTTGTTTACAAACGCAAATACGCAATTGATCACCTTTTTCTGGTCAAACAAGTTTGTACATCCGAAAATCGTAGCTGCTTACGCACACGTGGGTTGACAGATCGACGACGTGTGCAGGGGGACAGAATATCAAGGCGATAACAATGAATCGGGCAGAGGAACAAGAACGTGCCTTAAAATATCCCAAAAAAAATATATATTTCTTTTTGTAATAATGCGACCGTTACTTTAATCACATTTTACTTCATTTTTTTCACATATATAAACCCAAAGAAAGCCGCTCCCTCACTTGGGAAATTGTAGCCGCAAACAGATATGGATTTCTTCGCCAGTCCACACTCCACCGCCATTTCTCTCTCCGCCGTTGCCTTAGCCTCCCTCACCTTCCTCTACTTCCTCCTCCGAACAATCTCGTCGGCCGACAAGTCGAAAAAGAACCATGTTCAAGCACCACCTCCGGAGGAAGCCCACGGCGCGTGGCCCGTGATCGGCCACCTCCACCTCCTCGGCGGGCCGCGCCCGCCACACATAGTATTGGGCCAGATGGCCGAAAAGCACGGCCCAATCTTCACGATCCGGATGGGCATCCACCCGGCCCTGGTCGTCAACAACTGGGAGACCGCCAAGGAGTGTTTGACTACCCACGACCGGGTCTTCGCCGACCGGCCCGCGACCCTGGCCATGCACATCCTGGGTTACAACCGGTCCATGTTCGGGTTCAGCCCGTACGGGCCCTACTGGCGCCAAATCCGGAAGATGGCCACGCTGGAGCTTCTCTCCTCGCACCGCCTCGATTTGCTGAAACGGGCGAGGGAATCCGAGGTCGAACTCGGGACCAAAGAGCTGTACACTTACTGGGCCAAGCACGCGGCGGAAAACGGCAGCGTTTCGGTGGAGATGACCAGCTGGTTTGGGGAGATAACGTTGAACGTTATCCTGAAGATGGTCGTGGGGAAATCCGTCGGGTACTTGACGGGAGGAGAGGACGGCGTCAGGTTGATGAAGATACTGAAGGATTTCTTCGAGCTGTCGGGGAGGTTCGTGGTGGCCGACGGGCTGCCGTTTCTGCGGTGGCTGGACGTCGGAGGGTTCGAGAAGAAGATGAGGAAGACGGCGGCGGAGATGGAGGTTGTGGTGGAAGAGTGGCTTAGAGAGCACAAGGCGAAAAGGGATTCCGGCGGTGGGAAGGCGGCGGAGGAGGATTTTATGGATGTGATTTTGAACGTGGTTGGTGACGAAGGGGGAATCGAGGGTCGAAATTCCGATACGGTCAATAAAGCTACTTGCCTGGTAATTCAAATTCACTCCCTTTTTATCTTGGTTCGTAAATGCATTGAACACGGATATGTTATTTTAGTAGTATCATCGTGGTAGATTCAGTAAAATACCGGACAATATCATTATTAGAATAAATTAAAAAAAATATATTTAACTAGTATTATGACAGTGCAATATCTTGAACTCTTAGTTTTATAATTCTTGCTTTGAATTTTTGGAAAAATAAAAATCTTGCTCCGAATCATTCAATCAACTCTTAGGTTTTATAATGAAATGTTTACAATGAGGCTAAAAGATTAGGAAATCGGCATGGTGCCATAGTCAAATTTATGTACTATGCTTAGTCAAGAATGACGTAGGAGCAAAACAAATTCTTAATATATTGGACAAATTAAATATATTGATGTATCATATTAAAATAAAATAAAAAATTCATGCACTACTCATCAATCAAGGGATAAATATAATATTTAAATTTGATTATTCGGGCCAGTGAGAAAGGGGATTGTGAAACAAAGACAACCATGATTGTTCAAAAGTTATCTTCACAGTGCAAAAACATGTGCCAAATTTGATTTTTCCAATCAAATGACAGTAATTAATAAATAAATATATGTCAGATGTCAGATGCGTCAGATGGTCTATCCTGTAATATTATAGTGACATACTAAAAATATATTTCTTGTACGCCTCGTTGATTATGACCTCCACACAGGCGCTCACCTTAGCAGCTTCAGACACAACCACAGTGACAATGACCTGGCTCATCGCCTTACTCGTCAACCATCCCGACGTCTTGAAGAAAGCCCAAACCGAACTAGACAGCCACGTCGGCAAAGAGCGGCGAGTTCAAGAGTCCGATCTCCCCAACTTGGATTACCTCAAAGCCATCGTCAAGGAAACCCTCCGCCTTTACCCCGCCGGACCGCTCTCCGTGCCACACCAGTCAATGGAAGACTGCTCCGTCGCCGGCCGTTTCGTTCCCAAAGGCACCCGGCTCATCGTCAACATATCGAAGCTCCAGCGCGACCCGAGGGTCTGGTCGGACCCGGACGAGTTTCGACCGGACCGGTTCCTCACGACTCACAAGGACGTCGACCTCAAGGGCCAGGATTTCGAGCTGATACCGTTTGGGAGCGGGAGGAGGATGTGCCCTGGTATGAACTTTGCCTTGCAGGTTATGTACTTGACGGTTGCTACGCTTTTGCATGGGTTTGATTTCTCGAGGGCTACGACCGAACCGGTTGATATGACGGAGAGTATTGGACTGACCAATCCTAGAGCTTCTCCTCTTGATGTCCAGTTATCTCCTCGGTTGCCTTCTCATTTGTATGGGTAGGACTGAAACGCGTCTGATATGCTCTTGTCTTAAATAAACGTGGGCGTAAGGAGAAACTACATTTAAAGTCATACGATGGAGTTGTTCTTCCCTCTTGTTCACTATCGATGTGATGTTAATTAGTTCCATGGAATAACACCGCAATCCACAAATATATATCAACCAATTAAAGTAAAGGATTTGATCTCAATTATGAAAAAGCATCAGATCACTCTCACGCTAAACATTTTGTAAATAAGACTCGAGTTCCATTGATTTTTTTTTTTTTTATGGAGAGTTCCATTGATTAACAAAGGCGAAAGAGGATTTACAAAGTTGGTTTATTAACAAGGAAGATACCACACAAACCATAAAAATACTAAAATTGCAAAAGAAAAAGAATGGTTGAAGCTCAATCTCCTCAAAGGAAGCCCATAGCATGTCCAAGCCTCATCATGCATCTTTGTCTTCTGTTTGAGCCGATTCTAGGTTCTTGCTCCAGTATGGGCCAATTATTTCTCCATTGGGCGCTACACGTTGTTACTAGTAGGTTTTTCAGTCTTGAACCTTGTCTTTTACATGAAAAATCCATATCCTTCTCTTTTTAACTTCTTTAGTCCTCCATAGTCATCCAATACTTGATCCAAATCATTTTTTGTTGTATTTTATCTTAAAAAGCACAAAAAATACCAAGAAGGCATAAAAGAATACCAAAATACAACCTAGGTCTATCAAATGTTCATTAATCAAATAGTTATTATTTGGATATGAAATATAAGAGTAAGTACTAAAGATGCATTGATAGAAGGTGAAAATGTGTCAAATATAGGAATGATAAATATCGATGTGTACGGGCTTACCTTATGAAACACAAGAGTGAAGCTAGAAAACAATTACAAGATTTCTGCATCATGCATCATGGATTCATGGTGCAAACACGATATGATAAAAGTGTTAAAATCATTCATTTAGACCAAGGGGTTGAATTTCATATGCCATTATTCTTTTCTAAACATGGCATTATCCATTACCTTTTTTTGTAGAAACACCACAACAAAATGCTAGAGTGTGGAGAAAACACCAAAACATTCTAAATGAAGCCATGTCACTTAAATTCCAATATGGTCTTCCTTTGAAAGTTCCGGTCTGATTGAATTATGCATAATGTGTATTTAATCTACAAACTTCCCACTATTGCTTTAGATCACAAAACACATTTTGAGGCCTTATATGAATTTCTCCCTGACCTTTCTCATATTAGAGTCTTTAGATGCTTTTGCTATGTCAACACTTTGGGGCACCATCATACTAAATTCTAACCAAGAGCTAAACAGTGTGTGGGTTTCTCACTTGGAATTAATGGCTTTAAACTGTTAGATCATTATAAACACGAAGTGTGTCATTCCCTTGATGTGTTGTTTCATGATAACATTTTGCCTTATCTATGTCATACCACTCTCATTTCCTCACTTGAACACCAATACATTTTTAGCCCATTTTTTCCTTCAGCTACACAATCACTAGATATGTACACAGTACCTTCTGCATCACCCGAGGAAGAAATATCTCCTCTCTTACCTTTCTCTCAACCATCTTCTCCTGATATAAACTCCTCACCCATTTCTCACTCACCATAATAATAGAACACCTTCTCATGTTCCTGTACCACAAGACAATTCTTTTTCTTCACTTCCTATTGTCAATAGAAAGCCCTCTTGTGTCCCACATCCTTCTGTCAAGAAGATAGAAGGGATCGCCATTGGATCCAGATTTTGTTGTGGTTCTATAGCTGCCATTTGTGCGACGACTAGGGTTGCTCTGATACCATAACACCAAGTGTGGAGAATGAAACCCTAACTTAACTTTTCATTCATCATCTCATGTCTTTTATACAAGGATCAGAGCTAGAAGACAAGCTCAAGTGAGTTGTCGATTACAGCAAAGGAAAATAGGAAACAGAGTTCAGAGGAACAAAGTACAGAGTAACGAACATGATATTCTGTCTCTGGCTCACAACGACGTTTCAACCTTGGCCTTGCCTTTGTCTTGAGACGGTGTCGTTCGGCTTGGCACACTTGTCACCTTTCCTGAAACGATGTCGGACCAGCTAGCCCTGCAAGTAGTCGTTGCAGTTGAATGTGAAAATTGGGGATTTTCATCAGATACCCCCCCCCCCCCCCCCCCCCCCCCCCCGGCAAGCTGGTGGACAGAGATTATGCACACCAAGCTTGGAGAAGGTTGCTGGTGGTAGAGCCTTGGTGAAGAGGTCAGGCAACCGGTGAATTGAAAAAACGTGGAAGAACTTGATTGTGTCATTCTGCAATTTCTCACGAACAAGGTGGCGATCGATTTCTATGTGCTTCGTTCTTTCATGGAATGTAGGATTTTCTGCAATATGTATGGCTGATTGATTATCGCAGTAGAGGATTGCAGGTTGAGAGTGTGGTACTTGAAAATCTTTGAGGAGGTAAAGGAGCCATTGAAGCTCACAAATTGCATCGGCCATGGCTCTATACTCAGCCTCACAAGATGATCTGGAGATGGTCTTTTGCTTTTTGCTTTGCTAGGAGACCAAGGAGGAACCCAGGTAAATGCAATAGCCAGTCACCGAGCGACGCATGTCCATACAGGAAGCCCAATCAGAGTCACTGAAGGACTTGAGATGGAGATCATATGAGGAGGGGAAGAAAAGACTAGTGGAAGGAGCTAACTTTAAGTATCTTAGGATCCTGCTCACAACCTGATAGTGTTGTTTGCTGGGGTTAGACATGTATTGACTAACCTGTTGGGTGGCAAAACTAATATCAGGTCTGGTTGTGGTGAGGTATATGAGCTTGCCAACAATTCTCCTGTAGTAGGAAGGATCTGGATATGGGTATGAGTGGTTGGCAGTCAGATGAAGCTTGTAGTCCATTGGAGTGGAGACTGGTTTAGAAAGCAACACTTCTCCTTCTTCAAGTATTTCCAGGGTGTACTTCCTTTGAGATAGATGATGCTTGAGGAGTTCCTGGCAACCTCAATGCAAAGGAATGATTGTGCCAGTATGATGAATGATATTGCAAGTGGGATTATTATCTGAAGAGCCAGAAGTATAGTGAGTGGTGAGAGCTTCTAAGTGAGAAGACTGGCCCTTCATGTTCTCAGTCATGAGTGACATGAGCTTGTCATATTCTGACTTGGTAAGTTTGAACTCCTTGGTTGATTCAGTGGAAGTACCACTGTTAGCTGCATTGATGGATGATCTTGTGAGAGGAGGAACATGAGTTCTGGGCTGAGAACTGGGTGGGTAACCATGCTTCTTGAAGTATTTCTCCTCAGTATGTCCGATGCGTTTGCATAAGGTGCACTCAGGGGGTCCTGGAGGAAGGATTGGGAGGGGCAGTTGATCCCCTTGGAGTGAAACCTGGTGGCCAACCATGCTTATGATAACTGGTGTCCTCATTGTGGCCAGGAGCATTGCAAAAGGTGCAATGGGGACGTTTAACAGGTGTGAATGGGCATTTGAAAACCCAGAGTAGCAAAGGCTGAAGATTCAGTGGTAATATTTTTGCCCTGTTGAGTGCCAAAGACCTGCCTTTCAGGTTGAAGAGCTCGCTGGAAGACCCTATCAATTGGGGTAATGTATCTCCGAAGAGAGCTTGGGATCTCACAGTGGCAAAGTTATCATTCAAGCCACGGAGGAACTGAATAACAGAATTGACTGCTTTGTAGCCAATAACAGCATTCATTGAAGCACAAGTGGTGTGACTGGTATTTATACCATGACAAGGATCGATGGGTTGATAATTTTCTAATTCATCTTGTAAGGAAATAAAATTTCCATAGTACTCAATCACTGTTTGGTTATCTTATTTGATTGTGCCAATAGACTCAATAAGCTCTGCAACTCGGATCATATCACCTTGGCCATAGCAAGATTTGAGACTGAGCCAGGCTTCAGAGGCGAGTTTGCAGGACATGATAGTTTTCTTGATGAGTGGGTCGACAGCTTGTTGGATCCAGCTGAGGACCATGACATTATTGCGTGTCCAGGAAGAAAAAGTGACATCTGTTGCAGCAGGGGCGATGATGGTGCCATTGATGAAGCCAAGCTTGTACTTGGCGGCCAATGCGTTGAGCATAGTCTTACTCCATTCGTTGTAGTTGGTGGTGATCAGCTTCTCACCTACCAGCGGGATTTTCTTGGTGGCCAATGCGTTGAGCATAGCTTTACTCTAGTCGTTGTAGTTGGTGGTGGTCAGCTTCTCACCTACCAGCAGCAATCCTGGTTGATCTGAGCCATGAAGATAGAAGGGATCGCCATTGGATCCAGATTTTGGTGTGGTTCTATAGCTTCCATTTGTGCGGCGGCGGCTAGGGTTGCTCTGATACCATAACACCAAGTGTGGAGAATGAAACCCTAACTTAACTTTTCATTCATCGTCTCATGTCTTTTATACAAGGATCAGAGCTAGAAGACAAGCTAAAATGAGCTGTCGATTACAGCAAAGGAAAAAAGGAAATAGAGTTCAGAGGAACAAAGTACAGAGTAACGAAAATGACATTCTGTCTCTGGCGCACAACGACGACGTTTCAACCTTTGCCTTGCCTTTGTCTTGAGACGCTGTCGTTCGTATTGCCACACTTGTCGCCTTTCCTGAAACGATGTCGGACCAGCTAGCTCTGCAAGTCACCGATGTAGTTGAATGTGAAAATTGGGGATTTTCATCCGATAGCCTCTTCTCCATCATCTGTGGCAACACCTCCCTCCACTACCTTCCGGTCTCATTCAATCAGACCATTGGCGCAACTACGTCGTTCTCTACCACGATCTTTGTGTTATTAATCACTTGCATGAAGGAATCAGTGGAGGTCTATTTGGCGTTGATGTCGGTGGTGTTTGGAATCGTGTTGGAGAGCATTAGTTGTTCCATTTGTTTGGGCTTTTGGTTTGCGTCGGGTCCACTGTGGGTCGGCATTGAAATTGTTGGTCAGGGTGTTAATCAACCTCTATTTCTGGGGAAGGAATCGATTGGGGAGATCTGGTCGAGGTGGAGAGGAAGAAGATATATAAAAGACTCACATCTACACTTGTTCCATCGAAATAAAGACCGTCGGGAGAGGAGTTGATGTCGCTTGCCGCCATGCTTGGTTTCCCCCAACGAAGAAGGGAGAGGTGTTGGTGCCTCTTGCTGCTGCTAGTTTTGGTATTGATCAAGAAGGAGAGAGAGAGGGGTAGTGCGTAGGTTTTGATTTCTCTTTTAATTGGTTCTGGAAATTGGAAGAGAGGAGGGGTTATGTATTATAACTTTTCTTTTTTATTTTAATTTATTGCGAGAATGATGTGGAAATAGTAAAATATTAGCTTTTATTTTTATTAATTTTTAAATGCCACGTCACTTATTTAACAGTCAATTATGAAAGTTGGCTGCCATATCAGCAAAAGTTGTCGGTGACTAACGGAGAGTGATAAAACTTGTACTAATGAACTAATTTTAATGATCGCAAATGGAATTAAATATTTCTAGTGACCAAACGTGAACGTTTTTAGTATACACAGTCAACAAACTTGCAATTTACCCGTTATTTGGTATTGGGCTAAATTTGATATGTTGTGTGGGTTTTGATTTGAGTTTGGAACATAAACTAATTGGGCTTAATTCCACAAAGCCTATCTCCACTAGAGGCTTTTCGTACTATAGCTGAATTGAGAATCATTTATCTTTTTTTTTGTCAAAAGTAGCGGTAACAACTCAGTCATAAATAGTCGAAAGGAAAGCGCGGGAGTCGACCAATCGTCGAACTCCCGATGAAAGGGCTTTTTGTGCCACAAGATGGGCAGCCCTATTAAGTCGACGCGAGACAAAACAGAAAGAGACCCAGCTGAACTGTGCCGCCAATTCCCTTGCATCTTCCAGGACAGCACCACCTCGATCATGAGAAAAGTCCCTCCTCAACATCCGATGGATCAATTGTTGTGAATCCCCATGAAATTTGACAAAAACAAAACCATGCATTAGGTGTAGACACCACATTTTGTCCGGAGCAACCATCCTGCTCAAAACTCAAAAGAATATCCACTTAAAAAGAAAACTCAAGTAAAAATTTGGACGAGGTTGGTTGAGATTAGCAATGGCAAATCAATAAGTACCAACGATTTTTTAAGTCCGTTTTATTTGGTTCGAATGTTTGTACTAGGTAGGATTAGTAGTAGCTAATGGCTACCGAATTTGCTTTATTTAGAATAACAATAGTATTTGGTTCGAATATTTGTACTAGGTAGGATTAGCAGTAGCTAATGGCTACCGAATTCGCTTTATTTGGAATAACAATAGTATGTTGTCACGACCTATGCTAATGTCATTGTATTCAGTTGGTCTCATTGGTCTAAAGTTGGTCAAAAGGTATAGAAAGATTGGTAATTTTGCTTTAACGACCCAAATCCATGGTTTGGGAAGCATTGATTAGATGTTTGGATTTGGTTTGAAATTGGATAAGTGAGCAAATTGGGTTGGAAGAATCAATTGAATGTTTGAGCACTACATACAGATACAATGATCATCTAATTCTGAAGGCAATAACATAAATAAATAAATGTGTAATTACAAAGTACAATTTATAACCTTTAAGATACACTTAGTAATTATACATTAAAAAAAAACTATCAGAAACAAACCCACACCAGCAGCCCAATTCTCAAACTATAAAACTCAACCCAGGCCCATATTTCGGCCCAATCCAGTATGGTCGGCCCAGGTCCACTCTGGTCAAATCGGTCAACTCAGGTCAACCCAATCAACCAAACCCATCATCCTTATCTAAAGGAGCAGCAGAGCAGCAGAGTAGCAGAACAGCAGAGCAGCAGAGTTTCTGCCAAATCCAAAAAGAGGATTTCGGCCACCTCCTCCAAGAACCAATCCCAAATTGCCAGCAACATAAGTGGCTCAGGCCACCACTTCAAGAACAAAGGAGGAACAGCCAACACACAGGTATGAACAGTAAAAGGCAGCAATATATAAGGAGCTGTCTTACCCCAAACAAGACGGGGGAGGGGGAACCAACAACAAAAACACACAAAAAGGAGACGAAGACATTAAAGCACTAAGCACCAAAAGAAGCAGACCAGAAGCAATAAGGATCCAAAAAGGGCAGGGAGTCAGAAACAGCAACAAACTATCGCCATCAAACTCCACCAAATTTGCAACACAGGTTGGTACTTTCTACACCTCATCAACCATACAAGCATCTAGTCATCCATACATCCATGAAGGAAAATTCATTTAACATGTTTGTAAATGATGATTGCTTCTAAATTCATAATCCATAGTTAGGTTGCTTAAGTCTGTATGTGAAGTGGGTATTACAAAATTCTGATCTTTGTGACATGTATGTCTCTTTATGCCATTTATTTTTTTCATGCTACAATAGACAGTTCCCTTTTATTACCAACATACAATGAATTAGTTTAAATTGCTTTCAGTTTTCCTAGCAAGCATAATTCTTGCTAAGTTGCTAGCTGAACTTAGCAATAATATCAGCTAGGCTATTTCATTTACTCTTTCAACATACCAAAAATCCAGCAATCTACTCAAAACACAAAATAGGATTCAAACCAGATGTTTGAGAGAGTATTTTAAAATACCTCATTTTATGTTTAAGGGCGCCCCTTTTCTTTACTCAACTACCAGATTTGGTAATCACAAAGTTCTCATTTGATTATCATTTTGTATGCTAAATACAATAAAACACTTTCATTAAAAATTCCATTTGTTACTAATCAGTATTAGCCTTTTAATCAAATTGTTTAACCAATCGATAGTCATAAGCAGTAGCTATGATGTCGTATTAACTTTAGGACCATTATAGATTTTCAAATTTTAATAAAGCAAGTTCTCCACCATGTCCAAAACCAAACATTAAGGCTAAACAAACCTAGGAGGAGTTCTAACAAAATTTACTTTCACAACACCAGAAAGTTCTATAAACAATCATAACGATAATTAAACCACCCATTTTAGGTTTAGAAGAGGTATCACCTAGTTTCTTTCAAATTGAATAAGATCTGCAAAAAATTAGGAAATCGAGAGTTAGAACCCCAAAAATGATAATAGGTAAAAAACGAGAATAAAAAAAATAAAACAAATAACTTACCCCCAAACAAAACCCTCGCCGTCGGCTCTGGCGCTGGCCGCGCCGCCGGCGACCGCCGCCTTCCCTTCCCTCCCTCGGCAGAGATCCGAAACCATAAACCGTAAAAACAAAAGAAAATGTAATCCAAAGGTCAGAACCCGGTTTCTGAGATAGAAAAATCAAAAGAAAACCTACATGCAAACAAAAATCTCACCCAGAATAAACCCCATCGCCGGTAAAATGGAAAGTCAGAACCCGGTTTTCGAACTAAAATCAAACAAAAACTCGCAAAAATTGACATGCAAACCTAGGGGAGTCGTCCCTTACCCTCGCCGTAATCGCCGCCGCCGAGCCCTCGGTTTAGAAATTTCTCCGGAAATAAAAAAGGAAAACGAGAAGGAAATTAGTAGAATCCAAACAATAATCAGAAACCAGAAATAAAAAAAACAAACTTGCATGTTTCGATCTTACCTAGATCGAGGCCATCTCGGTTGATTTCGTCTAGTGTGAGCGGCCTTTCAGGCGGATCGAACAGGGAGAGAGGCGGCTGTTTTTTTTTGTTTCGATTTTGGGTTTTCTGGTATGGAAGGAAGAAGAAGAGAGGGCGCCTCATCTTCTCTGTTCGTCGAGAGAGAGAGAGAGGGAGAGGAGAGCAGCGGCGGCGGCATGAGATGGGGCTAGGGTTGGGTTCTCTGGGCGAGAGAGAAGGAGGGAGGAGAAGAATCGAGAAGGAAAAATGAGAGTAAGAAAGGAGGTTGAGCGGCGGCCGAGCCTTACACGGCTCTAGGGTTTGTTTGAGAGGTTTATATACCTCGACTGACGAAAGGACGAAATTACCCCTAGGGTTTCTCGCAAATTACATGTCCTGCCACCGCGTTTTCGTGAAATTACTATGATACCCTTCCCCCTTCTCTGCATCAAAACGAGAAAATTAAAAATTTCTCCACCAGCGCGTTTCGAACCCACGTCCTCCGGTTCAAACGCGAGCCTGGTCAGGCGTTTTAGCCAGTTGGGCTGCCAACCCATCATGCATAAATGTTGTCATCCCATTCAGTTTTATTTGTTTTACAATCCTTAATACGAAATGTGAAATGCGGATTAAGTTTGTCTCATTTCTTTTTCTATTACACCAAAATACATCCTTCTAATTAAAATCCTAATAATAATCAATCTAAATTTTAACAATAAAAATATGATATGAGAATTACGTTCAGTGGAACGTGGTAAAAGCTACAATTAAATTTTCAAAGTCCCAACGAACTACGTGGACTTTGATCCCGTCTAACGGGTACGTAGGCAACCGGTAAGGTTCGAGTCCAACTAATCAACTAACTTTATCTTTAAACTTTTACGTCAGTGGGCGTATAATTAAATTACAACTAATACGATAAAATCGTTAAATGGTCCAGTGGGACCCTAAATTACAAAATTAGTACTAAAATACACCCAACTCGCATAAAAACTTATCGACTTAAGTAGTACCGATTTAGGGCGTTGTGGGGTGTGATTTCACTTCCCCACACGTAACCGTACTCCCGAACCTATATCTCTATATTTCTAATTCGCAGACCAAGTCTCGGTTCTGACCCTAAGGTTAGAGCCGACCGAAGAGTGTTCGATCCACTCCAAGTAAGATCGATGGCGACTCCCAAAACAGCCGACGCGACGACAATACGGACCCCCCGAAGGGACGGTTGCGACATTAGGCACCATTGCAAAGCATCTCTAAGCGCCAAACATTCCATAATAAAAGGATCCGAAAGGCCGTCGTAAGCCTTACCAAAGGCAAAGAGGACCATACCTGACACTTGGAATCCAACAAATCCGACACTGCCCCCTTGATCACGTTTAGCCGCACCATCAAACCAAACATTAATGGTGTCCGGATGAGGGAGATTTCCTTCAAAGCCACCGTGATTCATTCTCGCCGATAACTGGGCAGGTGCTTGTCGATTTCTGCAGCGGGGAATAGCCGGCCTTGTCTGCTCAGCCTCCCTCCATTCCTGTACCTGGCGCTGCATTTGGCGAAATAACGCTGGGGGCAGATACTGAATCCGCCCATGTACTGACCAGCACCGGGCTTTCCAAATCCGCCACAGAATAAAAACCACATCAGCAATTGCGCTTTTGGACAGGTTCATACCAAAGAATAGTTGCTTCCATGCATCATCCGGGGTCAGCCCGGCAAGGAAGGATCGGAGTTCCTCACTGGCAGCAAGTCTCCATAAGCCTGTAGCCACCCTGCAGTCAAAAAAGCAGTGGGAGAAGGATTCCGCATCTGTATCACAGATCGGACATATCATGTCAGAGGCCAGAGTTTTAGAGAAGAGCACTGTTTGTAGAGGTAGAAAGCCACGAACAACACGCCACAAGAAGAATTTCAGCTTCGGTGGCAATGGTAGGTTCCAAAGCAATTTCCAAAACTTGTTGTCAAAAGGCAGAATGGCTGGCGGATGCAGGAGATTATGCTCAGAAGACAACAATTGATAACCTGTCTTAACAGTAAACAATCCAGAAGGTGAGTAGTGCCAAATTAATCTGTCATTCATATGGAAAGCAGGGAGGGGAATAGACAGAATAAGGTTTACACATGAAGGGGTGAATAAGGATTCCACCAGATCCTTTCTCCACATTTTCGAGCTAGGGCAGATCAGATCCGAGACAAACATAGGACAAGAAGGCGCACCTGGCTTCAACGTGGGGCACGACGGGGGGGTAGACGGGATCCAAATATCCTGTAGTGTCCGGATATTCGAACCATCTCCTACCTGCCACCTTAGGCCCCTCTTGAGTAAATTCAACCCTTCCAAAATACCTTGCCACGCCCAAGAAGGTCGGGAACCAGCCGTTGCATCAAGAAAATCTCGAGTAGGATGATATCGAGCCTTGTAGATTCTAGCCAGGTGGCTGGTCGGATTATGCAGAATTCGCCAAGCCTGCTTAGTCAGAAGGGCTATGTTGAATCGGTTGAAGTCACGGAATCCCAGTCCTCCGGTAAACTTGCTCTGACAGAGTGCGCTCCACGAGATCCAGTGAATCCCACGTTCCTTATCTTGTCCCGCCCACCAATACTTTGAAAGCTGGCCATTGCACCGACGACAGGTTTCCTTAGGCAATCGGAACGCCGACATGGCATAGATAGGGCCAGCAGCCCCTATCGCCTTTATCACCACTTCTTTACCTGCCAAGGATAGAGATTTCGCCTTCCAATTTCGAATCCGGGCAGCAAGGGCCTCCTCTATGAATTGGAAGGTCAGTGACTTAGATCGGCCAACCTGAGAGGGCAACCCCAGGTATTTGTCTTCCGCCTGCAAAACACTAACTCCTAGGAAAGAGCTAATTGCTTGTAACTCCTGACTAGAAACATTAGCACTAACACAAACAGCCGACTTGTGCAAATTAACTTTTTGACCACTAACTATTTCATAGTTGGTTAGGAGCTGAAGCAAGGTAGCACATTCAGGAATCGATGCTCGGAGGAAAAGATAAGAGTCATCGGCGAAGAATAGATGAGATAAGGGAGGGGCTGACCTGTGGATGCGTAAATCATGGAGAGAAGAGGAAGCCACCTCTTGGGATATCTTTGCAGCAAAACCTTCCGTGTAGATGGCAAATAGCAATGGCGATAAGGGGTCTCCTTGTCGAATACCTCGCTGTGGTTGGAAGTATCCATACTGAGTCCCATTGAGAAGAACAGAAAAATGAACGGTTGTCACACAAGACTTGATCCAAGTCATCCATTTATCACAGAACCCTAAATTCTGCATGATTTGGAATAGGAATTCCCACTCCACTCGGTCATATGCTTTCTCCATATCAATCTTAAGGGCCATCCATTTGTCTGGGCCACGGACCTTGGTTTTAAGAAACTGCATCACTTGGGGATGAGGGTCAACAGTGTATGGTTGACACTATGGAGCAGCCTGCCCGACTGAAAGAAAGAGAGGATGGCATCCGAGATCTCCGAATTGAGAATCATTTATCTACTGTACTACAATCGAAGTCTTCTTTTCTTCTCCCTTATTTGTCTAACCGTGTTCTTCAGTATCGCGAGAATAGATCATTGAGCATAGAGATCAGATAGCAAATTGAAGTTCTCGTTCGAGACGAATGGGATTCTAACCAAAATCCATTCAGAAAGTAGTTCACAGAGACGTGAGACCTAACATCATACTTTAAGTCTTTAACCCATGATTTTGAGCCTCTAGTCGCTGATTTTGGCCTTGCTCGAAGGCACTCTGAATGGCAAATCGATGGTTAAGAACGTACCATTGGAACTGCAGGGTATTTAACGTACCATTCAGATTTCAGAGTACACTTATTGTAACTAATGCTTACAAAAACACTACCAATATAGGTCAAATATTTTAAATTCATTCATATAAATGCAATACAATACACAAACACTACCAATTGATAAATTTTTACCTCTGAAAATTGTTTCTTTTTCAATCTCTTCTTCACCTTCAGTCAGACAGACTAATTGAAATGCCCCTATTTTTCCCCGCCCTAATTAGTAAGTAATTACATCACTCAATTCACCATAATTATTCTTCTTTAAAACAAAATTACCACGTCTTTTTCTTCTAAAAATAACCTTTTAATATATGTTCCCTTCATGTGGCACTCCCGCTGCTTTTCTTCTTCCTTGTCTTCCGGCATGACAATAGAACCATTCATAAAACACAATAATAAATTAATCACCAATCCATTGGGCCAGGTCTGGTTCTGGTGCTGCCCTTAGACGGCAACGACTCCCCATCGGAAAACATCCCACCGCCACCGCCGGCCCCAAAACTCCCGTCCGGCGCCATCTCCGACACGCTCCAAACCTTCACAGACTTATCCAAACTCCCACTGTACACAATCCACCTCTGATCCCCTTCTTTCGAATTCTCCCCGTCCGCCTCCACCGCCAAACACTTCACCGGCCCGGTGTGCCCCGTCAGCACCGACAAACACGTGTGAATATTCCCATCCCGCCTCCACACACAAATCGTCTTGTCCGCCGACCCACTGAACACCAAATTCCCCGCCGCCTCCAGGCACAGCACAGCCAGCCTGTGCCCCTTCAAAACGCCGCCGTGCGACAAACCCTTCTCCCGCTCCCAAAAATTCACCATCCCGTCGCTCGACCCGCAGTAAACCAACGAACCGGTTCGGTTCACGGCCAGCGCCGTCACCGCCGACTCCTGCTTCAGCAGCGTCTGCTGGTGCGTGTGTTTCGTCGACTTCCCGTGCTGCTCCCTCTTCCAAACCTTCACCGTCCCGTCGGCCGAACCGGTAAAAACCAAACTCTCCACCATCGTAACCACCGAGTTGATCGCATCGTCGTGGGCGCTGACCGACTCGAGACATTTCGAGTCGGACAAGCGCCACACTTTAAAATTCCTATCCCAGGAGGCAGAGTAAAGCAGGGTGCGGTCCTCATTAAAACAGAGGCACGAAACGGCGTCGGAGTGTTTAATCCACAACGACGTCTTGTGGTGCCGTACCTGGACGTAATTGCTGGGCTTGATCGAGCTCTTGAAAATGTCCTTCAAAGTGGGTAAAGTTCCGGATCTTTTGATCACGCTCGGGTTCTTGATCGACGATTTCCAGACCCGGATTTTGCCGTCCTGGTGACCGGTGAAGATTTTCTCCCCCGAGAGGATTATGGCCTTGACCAGCCCGCTGCTGGATTTGAAACCCGAGAATTCCTTGAGGTTTTTCCAGACCCGGATGTTCTTGGAGTCGGATCCGGTGTAGAGCAGGTCCTTGGAAGCGGCGAGGGAGTAGATGTGGCCTTCCTCGCGGACCAAAGATCCGATGAGGGAGTTCTGGGCGGACGCAGCATCGTCGTATCGGGTGAAGCAGGCTTTGCCGAACGGCGTTGTTTGGTTCCAGGGTGACATGGTCATGGGGGAGCCCTCGCAGCTGAGGCGGTTCGGGTCGTACGGCATCCCGGGGCTGGCGGCGGAGGAGGCGCTGCTGTTCCGGAACACCGCGAAGTCGTCATCGGTGGAGGAGGTGGCGGACATGGTTGGATCTGAATAGGTTATTTTGCCATTTGGTCTGGGAATTGTGTTGTTGGTGTTGGATGATGCTACGAACATACCGGGTCGGGGGACCGGGTATGGGTGTTGTGATTTTTCTTATGTTTTACTCCCCCTCTTTTTGTTTATTACTGGAAATGGAAATCTGGATTAAAAGGGAGAAATGGAGATTTCTGGTTGATTAGAGAGGGAGATGGAGAAGAATGGAGGAGAAAACAAAAGGGAAGGTGGAGGAGGGGGGTATGGCAAAATGAAGAGGCGGGAGATTGGGATGGGGAAATGGAGGGAATTTGTTTGTTATAAATAGCGGGGAAAAGGAACGCTCGAGGAAAGGGGAAGGACGTTGGATGCGACACGTGTTCAGCATATGGTAGATCTTAAAATTAAAGTGCTACTCGATAATACTGTTTTTTTTTAATATAATCACTCATAATACTGATTAAATTAACATGTAATGTGCAATCGCCTAATTTGGTCTAAGATAGGAGTCCGGAAAAGTTAACTCATACTAATAAATTTAGTAGCAGAGTTCCGCAACAATGTCCTAACTTAATTATTTGTTAGGTCCAAAACAAATCGCAACATGTAAGGATGTACGTAATAGGGTCATGATTCTCATGAATGAAATTGTCACTTCTATATATATTATTGTTGTTTAGTGATACTTAAGATAATTATCTAGATTGATTATGTATTTACATATGAAAACATCACTCTGGTTATGAACAAAGTATCTACGAGGGGGAGGGAGGGAGGAGATAATGGGTCTTATCGCTTTATGCCTAGCTGAACTCGTAGGCCTAGACGAAAACAACCTAGGTCATTTCACTTTCCGTTTTTTTCCCAAACAAACTCAAACTAACTAAACCCATAAAAGCAAATGCGTCATGGCTCCCAAACACATCTGAATAGGTCGACACCTCACTCATTTGCCCAATTCGTTGTAGAGGATGCTTCTAGAGTCCTAGGGATCGTTTACTTGTTGGATTTGGGTCATGAATTTGATACCCAATTTCTAAATTCAATAGATTTAACAACAAGTTCATTGTTTGTTGATAGGTGCCAAATTTGTAGGGTCCACAGATTTTATCTTCATTTTGGGACCAAATATGTGAACCACACGAACTTGTAAATCTCACGTATTTATTTGGGATTTATAAATCCTTAATGGTTAGTTGCTTATGTGACAAATCCATCGTAAATATATATCAATCTATCATGGAAACACTAGACTTTTCAAATCCATAATACAATAAATCTATCATGGAAACACTAGACTTTTCAAATCCATAATACAATAAATCTATCATGAATCCCAAAGTTTTTGTTGCTCAAAACCCTCATTTTTCAAATCTAACAACCGATGGACCCCTAATTAAAGCCAAAATTTCAAGAGTCAAACTATTGGGTTGAATAGGATAGTAACAAATTTGTATTGATTTAAACGATTGAATACGACTATACACACGAAGGACAATCAAACTAATGTTATATTAATAGTACTTTTTTATACATATCTAATCTTATTTGTGGAAAAGGAGTTGAAGTTAACTACCATAATATGAAATTCGCACCTTAAATCATACCAACTCATTTCACTTGTTACAGTAATTAATATGAATTTGATTTTTTTTTTTCAAATATGAAGTTCTGATCTATGCGTCAGATCTAATTAGCTCCTCAGATCACCTGCATTTGTTGGTATTATAGATGTTGTGCATAATGGACCACATGTGAATGTGATAATTACAAGGGACTACCTAGCCAGTAGACTAGTAGTGAGTAGTGACAATATAGGAGTTCGACCGATTAATGAAAGGAGAGCTTGATTTTTTTTAGTCAACAAAATGAAAGACAAATTAAAACAAAGTTGTTGATTGGGTTAAGTCTATGATCAGGAGGACGGCCGAGATGCCGTTTTGTTTGTTTTAGGTATGTCCTTTGCTTTAAACAGAGGAAATGCTGCCCCCCGCACTAGCATGCAAAAGTGTGCCCATAACTGAAAACCGCACATTGACGACAAGGACAATGATCCCTCATGCGCACCACCGTAGGCCGGCACCCTTCATCATTATCAACGTACGTAGTATTTCTATATGTTTTTTTAGTTCCACGGTTAGGTACTTCGGTTAACCAAATCAAACCGATAACCCATCTCCAGTTGACGAAAAATATGAAAGTATATGTTTGAGCCGGGTAACTTCTATTCGCCTACACGTCTGCGCCTTGCCCACCTCTGACTTGCTCCAAACCTCGCACCTACACGGGAGGCGCACAACGAACCCTTGAGGTCCGTTAGCACTCCGACGATCAAGTTAGCACCCTCTTTTAGAGAGAGGAGTAGAGCAAAGTTTTAGTTGGCCGATCGGTGTCCCTCAAATTCGCCCTACGTCATCACTGCAATTAATGCACCATACCTCCCATTTGTCATGCGCATCGACCGCCTGACACAGAATTCAGAGACTCGAGGCGCCCACCTTGCTTTCCCGCGCCCTCCGTACGCTTTTGGTAGACCTGACCTCATCCCCTACACCCTCCGTACATTTCCAGCCGTTACACCCCTCTGTCGCTATGCGCCCCGTGTCAGAGGCCGGTCCCACTTTGTCAGCCTTTATCCTCAGCCATCATTGGGCTAGGCCCCTTTCATGTTGCCTGCCCTTTTCCTCACTTGGGCTCTGTTCACTTGTGATAATCACTTGTATATGCGACAGTTAATCAAGGATCGAAATAAGTTAGGGATTTATATAGGAGCTAGAACCGTTTGTGCCTTGAGATTATTAGTTGATGAATGTCCGTAAACATTAGAAAAGTAGTGAGGCAGTAGATTCGAAAGCTCACGTTAATCGGACATGGAGAAATGGAAATCTCGTTAGACCTTTCCCCTCAAGAAAATGATAAGCTGATGGCTCCTCCGAATCGCACGGCTGGACAAGACAATTCCCCTACTAGGGCACTGACAGGTGCGATATGATATCCTGAAACTCGCTGCTGGGTCGCCACGTAACCCCGTACTGGAACTGGAAAATGTACGATTGCTCTTCTTTCTTTTCCAAGCGAGCAAATAGGGCCAGGCCACCTGGCTACCTTTCCAAGTTTGTACCACACATGATGACGACAAATAATAGGGTAACATGTCTTGTAGGCACTCTATGAGAACATATGACCGTTGTTCGCCAGCCAAGTGTCCCTAGGAATGGAGATGAAAAATTATGATCCCGTCATCTTTCTTTCCTCCAAAACCGCAACTTCGGTGGGGGCCTTGGCAGTGGCACAACTGAACAACCCTAGCTATTAGTAGGGCTGCAAACGAGCGGAGTCGAGTAGAGTTTTTGCTTAATTTGAAGTTGGCTCGTTTATTAATTTTTCGGCTCGAACTCGAATTTTGATAATCTAGCTCGAGCTCGAGCTCGGCTTGAATAAAAATAATCTAGCTCGAGCTCGATAAATGCTCATTAACATAGCTTGTCAAGCTGAGTACAAGCTCGACTGAAGATGAGCTTGATTTAAAATCATTCTTGCTGGAAAAATGTGTAAACATACGAATTTAAATTATAGAAAGAACACTAAAACTATAAATAACATCTAAATCTCATACACATTTGTATTAACAAGACAATGTTCATTTTTAAAAGAATAATTCATCATTCCACAAGCTCTAAACAAAGCAGCTCGCGAGTTTAGCTCAACAAGCCACCGAATCAAGCTAGCTCGCGGGCTTATCAAGCCGAGCATGGTCTAACTCAAGCTTGGCTCGTTAACTAACGAGTTGGCTCGCGAGCCGGCTTGTTAAATAACGAGTCGAGTGTCGAACGAGTTTTTTCCGATTCGAACGCCGAGTTGCTCGCGAGCGGCTTGGCTCATTTGCAGCCCTAGCTATTAACTATCGAGATGGCAATTTAAACGCGTTCGGTTAGTTATTATCCGATTTGATGTCTATTGCGGCAGATATTATCCGATCAATAGTAGCATGGAGCAAAACATGTGTTACTATTTTTTTACTTGTTTCGTCTTGTTTCATTTTATTTTTTATCCGATTATCTCAATTTTATACAATATGTATTTGTATTTCTTTTATTTCAATCATAATTTCACCTATTGAAATTTTAAATAGGTGCAAGATTTGAAGTGTTTTCTTTTGAAGTATTTACTATTCCATCATTATTTTTCATTAATAAAATATTTTCTTTTATTTTGTGGCAAAAGAGTGACTTTTGAAATTCTAACCCTACTGCTTACCAGAATACTTACATGATTGAAAAGTTTCAGTTGGTCGTACGTTTCTGTTTTCTAGTTCTTTTTTTCCGAGTGCTTGTTTCACTCATCACTATAAAAAAAAATCACTATCAGTTACCACTTACCACCCATTTACCAGTTGAGCTTTGGACTGTGTCTAATAAAATGAACAATGGTGGTTTTTTTTCCAAGATAAGCTCCCAGGGCATGGCCGGAAAGCAACAATAAAACAAAACAACAATAATGAAAGGTAGTCCGTATACAACCGGACTCCCGATGAAAGAGCCTGTTATACCACGAGATGGGCAGCTCTGAGAACGCTCCGAAAAGCAAAAAGACACGAAACTGACACAAGGTGAGAGAAGAGAGAAAGAGAAACTTTCTTCATAATGGAGTCTTCCTCTCTGAAGCATCTCCAATGATCAGTTGATAATTTCCTCATAAGAAAAAGACAAGACATAATGAGTGAGTCATCATCTAATAGGCATCACTAATAACATGAATAGTTTAACAAGAGCAAATGACCATAACTGATAACGTGATGAGGTTGATTGCTCGTTCTTCATGTAACTTTATTACTATAAGGTTCCCCTGCAATGTGGTGAACTCAAAAAGATCCACTATAGTACTAGAAATCCATATCTAAAGATATTATAATCTACCATTTAGAAAGATGCATAATCTCAATGGTAATTAATAATAAATTCCACTATAGAAAATAAAAAACGTAACATAATTAGTGACAAAAAAATGATAATACATTGCTACTAATATATGATATAATAATGGAAATGAAAGGCCTGTAATCATTATAGAAATGAAAAATTAGTCAAAGAGCACCCCAATTAAAGGAAAGTCAATAATGGCATTGAAAATGAGAGAAAAATATTTATAACAATTAATACAAATCTCCCTATAAGGTATTACACATTGCCGAAAAATGGAATTAAACACCTCAATTAATAATGGACGGAGTTAAAAGTTTTAACAGACAGATCAGGATACACATTTAATGTATAGAATTAACTACCACTGATGGTGATCAAAGCACCGTTGGGGGCAAGAGAGCTGGACAATCAAAATAAGATGTTAAAAATATAGGTTACTAGGAAATAATCTTGACAATTGATTAACAGAAAGTAATTGAGGAGTAAATCCTCTTAAATGACTAATAGGGGGAAATAAACCATTTAATTTCAAGCCGATAATCAGGGGTTATTCCCAAATTACCTCAGTCCGTAGAACCATCCATTAATGTCCTCCTCTCCATCTCCGATCAAGGCCCCGATGGGGACGCCTCTCCGACGTGAACAATGGTGGTTGGTTTGCAGGTGTTGATGAGACGCAATCTCATTTCTATTGACTTATTTTATATGTTTACGGT